GGACAATCAAAATATGATACAAATATAATTAAACGATATATTGGTATGCATGGAGGAGAATTAATGTTACAAGGACATAATTTAACATTAGTTGTTTTTCATGGTTTAAATTTTAAATCACGTCAATGGGCTTTTTTTTCACTTAATGAACCACAAATTAATTTTGTTACTGATCGAGGTGAAAAAGGAGATAGTAAGTTTATTAATAGTTATATTTTATTTAAAAAAAAAATGAAAAATTTTTCTTTTATTTTTAAGTTAATCAAAAATTATTCTTCTATTTGGGTCATCAAGGACAAACAATGCCATCTAGTCTTAAATCTCGTACAAATATGGCTTCAATATCTAAAGTTACAAGAAATAGTAATGAAGCACCATCACATTTAACTATTAATGAATGGTTTAATTATGCTAGTTCAACTATTTCTGCTGTTGGTATGTTACTTCGTTTTTTTTTCTTTGTAAAAAATAAAAATTTATTAAGAACAACATTTAAACGAATGTATCATTCACGTACAGGATTCTCTCAATCAGAGTTGAGGATGAATTTTTATATGAAATTTAATCTAGTTAAGCTCTCTATGATATTTATAGGAAAAAAAAAGAACATCTGAAGAGATTCTCTAATTAGTTTTCGATATATTGATTAAATTTATCTTTTGTAGGTCTACGTGATTTTCCAAGTATGGATGATGTTCCAAATCCAACACCAACAAGTAAAGTACGTTCAAAACAATTTGAACAAAATGCTGAATCAATATTTATTCTTCCCGGTCTTGAATTAAGTTTTCAAACACGTCAATTAAATGGTAAAAAAAAAACATTCATTATTAATCAATTAAATTCAATGCAAAATTTATTTATTTTTTTTTTAAGGAGAAATCTATTGTAGTTTTGAAACAGAATTTTATGAACATATTATGTTTACATTTAATGCTGAACATTTTTATTTTTTACATGATCTTATTTCATCTTATATTAAAGAAAAACAAAAAGGTAAATAAAAAAAAAAAAAGTCAAATTTTCAATTAAAAAATTGTTTTCTCTTTATTTAGCTTTAACAGCAACAACAAATGATAAACATCGACAACGATCAACAGCACCATTATCATCATCATCATCATCATCAACAATACCTTCAAATTCAGTTGATATTCAAACATTAACATCATTTGATGAACCTCCAAGTGATGATATACGTCGTTTTCATTGTCCAGATACTAAATGGAAATTACAACCAACAATAAAACTTTTAACTGCATATGGAAATGAAGTTGAACCATTTGGTGCTGATTATATTTTACAAAAATTAGGTTTTCGTCATGCACGTTTAACAATACCAAAATGGTTGCAACGTGGTATTATGGATCCATGTGAACAATCGATGACTGTTGTACAATTATTTCTTATATTTCTTTTACCTGAACGTTTTAAAGAAATATGCATGCGACAATAAAATTTTGCAAAAAACAAACTTCTTAATCAAGCTCATCAATGCATTTGTTTTTCTTCTATATTCTCTAGTCGTTTGCTTCAATTTGTGTGCACTCGAGATGAAATTTAAATATATTGTGGTTGTTTATTCTTTCTTTTTCTCAACGAACAAGTTATTTTTGTATTTTTTTTGTACAAAAATTCAATTTAATTAGTTCGTGCGTCATTATTGTCGATGTGTGATAAATAAATCAATAAAACATAGTTTTTATTATTAACCTATGACGCGAAAGTCTTGGTACAAAATGTTTGCTTAATTTTCTACTCCTTAGCCTTGATTAGAGAGGTTGAAAATCAGTCAGTTAGTATCAGAATTTTACGCTCTTTATAAATATATATTCAGAATTATTTTCTAACTTAAGACAAATTAACTGGAAGCAAATAACTGAATAGATTACAAAAGGGCATCTGTACAAGAGACGAAGTTAATATGTCGTGTTACAAATATTTACTCATTTTTTTAGACACTAAAATGTCATTGAAAGGTATTAAAAGTAGCCAGGCTTAGTCAGAATTTGATGCTCTCTCTGAATATATTATCAGAATTCTTTTTTTCTGACCTAAAATTGTTTACCTGTAAGCACATAACTGAATAAATCAAATCTGCTGTTTGTGTCAAGTAAAATAATTAACTTTCTGAGTGTTATTTTGATACAGTTTTAAATCTATATTATTGTAGAGCATTTACTTTTCTACAAAGCCATGGATTCCAATAAACTGGAGCTTCAAAAAACCAAAGGCTATGTACATATTTCGGCACGCTATTCTCTGTGTAATACGGTATATTGTCAAAAAAGCGTTTTTTTTTTGAATGTTGTTTTCTGGAATACAACAAACTTTTGAGCTATCGTTATCATATTAAAAAAAAAGGAGTAAACTAAACGTTTTGTAGAGCATGCTTCGCTCTACAAACGGATATATAAAACAATTTTTTATCATTTGAATTGAGACAGTTTTAATCAAAATACAAAAGTCTGGTGGGATGAAAAACTGTGTACAGACGCCTCTTGTTGGTCTATTCAATTATTTGCTCACAGTTAATTTGCCTTAAGTTAGAAATTAATTCTGAATATATATTTAGAAAGAGCGTCAAATTCTGATTCTAACGGATTGATTTTCATCCTCTCTGATCAAGGCTAAGGGATAGAAAATTAAGCAAACATTTTGTACCAAGATTTTTGCGCCACAGGTTATTATTAAAATAGAATGTGTAGCAAGGATATTTAAATAAAACGAAGATGAATAAATTTAATTCAAACACGTCCCTAAATATCATCATTCAGATAATTGTGAAAGATCTTCTTGGAAAATAAAATCAAGTAAATCTGAGTTTATTACTGAAGCCTTTCGTATGTATTCTTAGATATATATGTTAATTGTTTTTTGAGAATTTCGGTTATTAGTAAACTAGTTGAACACAAGCAAACACTTATTTCAACTTTAAAAAGCATTTGAAATAGTTGCAGTTAAAATTTGTCTAAGAATCCTGATTAATTGAAGGATCTGTCTGAGAAGGAATGCTAATCAAACTGCTCGACTCGATTCTGAATGACTATCGAAAATAAATATAAGTCAAGCATTTTTTCATGAAATTTCTAGCATAAATAATAAAGAAGCTCTGTAAATTTACTTCAAAGTATTTTGTCTTGGAGTTCTATGAGTTGTATTTACAATAAAAACAAACTAACAGCGATCTTATCGTGTCGTTGAGAAGATATGAACTGTTCTAATTCATCATATGTGAGTTAAGTTAAACCCTAAGCGAATTTATAAAATTCATATCTTCGAAACGATACTATACGAAAGACATTAGATTATTGTCACTGTAAACAAAACTCATATAACTACAAAAGATAAGATATGCTACAGGTCAATTTGAAGAAGTTTTTATTCTTTATGGTAGAAACCTCACGAAAAATCCTTGATTCATATTCATCGTCGACAGTCATCCAGAATCGAATCAAATAGCTTGAATAGCGCCTTTTTAAAGAATAGTTTTTTTAAATAGTCGATGTTTGTAGATGAATGTCGACTTGAACTATTTGAGATATTTTTTAAAACTTATCCAAATAGGTACTTGCAGGTGTTAGTGGATACAGTTCACCAAAGTCGATTGATCTATATAAACGGATCTAAACTATCTATTTTTTCGAGATATTCATAGAGGTTTATGAAGTTCGAGAATAGCGTGCTGAACATCATGCGTAATCAAATTTAAACATGAAGAATACACTTGACATAATCGCTGTCGAATTATGTCAATTAGGCAACACAAGCTATAAAGATAATCTCAAATTGATATGTGATCAGTTTGATTTACAATCTAATGACAAGGATATCCTAAATATTATTGGATCATTAGAAAGTAAACATTTAGATGTGTATGATGGCGACTCTTGGTGAAGAAAACTCACATCCATATCTTCAATTTGTAGCATTCACCAATGTTAATGATGCTGTGATTTAAAAGGGAGGATCTGATCAGTTCATTGTCGTCGATCTTTTCGCATCGGGTGTAGCTGGTGAACGTAGCACTCGTGCACTGCTGCTTTGTCCTGTACCGTCTCTGATTCGTGTTATGGTAGAAAAACATCTATGAATCGCTTCAGGACTTGAAGATGGATCAGCAGATAACGCAGCAGCATTGCACGCTGCTCTCATCTTTCATAACTGGAACGGCATCAAAGTGAATATTTTCTCAATATGACCAACACCCTCTAGTGACCAGAGGAGCCACACTTTTTGATGCCAATTTCGACTGCGAAAAAGAATTTTTTCGGACTCCGAAAACCACCGAAATTTGTTTGTAGTTTAGCGACATCTGATTCATTTCAATGCTTGGTATCCTGAAGGTATAAAAAAGTAAGTGAGTCAGTTATAAATGAACCGTCTATAGTGTCAAAGGATTTCTTCATATGGTTATTTCATAAACAACAAAAAAATTATGAGTAAAAAGATTTTAACAAAAAAAGAACTTGCAGAATTAATAAGAGATAGTGTTCTATCAATAAAATTCGTTGAGAAGAAAAACACCTCAAGATCAAGCGAATAGTGAAAGGTTTTTATTATATTTTTGTAAAATGATGATTGACAACAATTTGTGTCGTGTAATAAATGCAAAGAAATATTGTTATATTCATCATCAAATGGTACTTATCATTTACGTACATATGTTACTTCATGTTCAAAGAAAGATAAATCAAGTTTTGTTTGTTAAAAACTGTTCACGACTCTTATTCTTCGTCAAAACAATCGTCAATTTCTACGAAAATAAAATTCCTGTTACAATAGTTTGTACACAGTTTTGTACTCTAGATAAACGTGCATTTGATATTATGAGTAGTATTCAGCGTGACCAAGTTTTATAGTCATGAACAGGTTACGGTCACTGCTTGTGGCCATCGTAACCATGACTGTGAATTACGGCCTTGTCTTCGGGGTCGTCGTCAGTTGCAATCTTTTTCGAATCATCCATTAAGGACTTCCGATGCAAAACAAAATGAAAAGAATCCTCCAACAAGAGCTATTATTAAGTATGGGTTTTTATGAAAAGTGATCGCTAGAGAAGAGGGTAGCACAGCCAAAATTGTTCTATTTCCTCAGTGGTAACTAGAGAGCAGAGAAGCGAATAGAGTGGCAAAGGCTTCTCTAAGCTTCTCGTGCTGAGGCTTTCGCCTCATGACAATACTTCCTCTGAAGGTCCTTTATCAAAGACTTCTGTGAAAAAATGACTGCACTTTACAGACATAGGATATGTGACTATTTTAGTATCCGTAACTATACGTGACCAAGTTCCAGTCGTGGTCACAGTTACATTCATGGTCTCGGTCATGAAGCTTGATCACGATAACGACCGTGGCTGTGACTACTGTAAGTCACGGTGATCACGCCGAGCACTAGTTATGAGAGGTGATCGATTTAAAAATTTTAGCAAAAACTTTATTTGATGTTGGTCGAACCACCAGGGTATGGCTGTGGGCGTTAGAGTAAATGTTTTTGTCAATATAACCTACACCCATACCCTCAAGTAGTCAACAGTATCAATATATCTAACATAAAAAAGCAGCAGCTATAAAATAAAAAATGCCAGAAAATGTTTTCACTATTCGAAGAATAAATCGCGACTGTTCCAAAAGGTAAAAACGTGGTTAAACATATCAGAATACGTTGCATTTCAATATGTTTCATTTAAAACAACAATCATCTTTTTCTTGTTGGAATCGACATATTTTAAATACTTGTATTAGCTACAGAACGTAATTTAGAAGTCATTTTCTTGAGAAATATAGTAAAATTCATAGTAACTCACAGTAGAATAAGAAATCATATACATAATTGAATGATCGAGTGGCAGCGTTATTTTGAAACATTTTAACGTACTTAAATAGAGGTGTCGTAGTAATATTTGCCAATATGACTTTTGAATTTAATCAGAAATTCGATTAACTTTATCGTATAAAATATTATAAGTAGTGACCATGTTTGAAAAACTAGAAAAAAGACTTCTTCTAAAATGACGAAACAATGATATTAAATATAGTAATAAGAAAACTACAAATGTATACCCTATTGGACAAATCAAAGAAAATATTTTCACACATAATTAAATTTATATTTAAACAACATCATTATTTGAGAAAAATGAATGGCTATTTATTTTCGTTATTTGACACTTCTTAACAGTCTACTGGAAGAATTCATTCAGAGCATTAATCTTATTTTATTATCGTTTCAAGACGCCTATAATATAAAATAATAAAATAAACAAAGTACCTGACATGAAATTACATAAAGAAAAATAAATATTTCACCGTTAAAACTATTCGATCTGAAGGCATTACCGTAAGCACATCCTTGGCGATTTACTAACTTCAAGAGAACATTTTCCACGAATACTTTCTGGCAAACTTATTTTCTTACTGAATCATACTTAACTTTCAGTGATACTAGATATTTTCGAGA